AACTGGGTGTGAAGTGAGACCAAAGGAAAGAGAAGCTGCAGCAGCAACCCTCTAGCTCAGTAAGCACAACACTCGGTGTTCACACCACAGTGTCAAAGAGAAAAGACAACAAAAGGGGAGAGAGCTGAACCTGGAGTCAGGAGGGCCTGGCTTCAAATCCTCACTAAGGTCCTTACTAGCTGTGGGACCCTGAGAACATGACTGCCCCACTGCCTAAACAGTTCTCTCATTTGTAAAATGAGAGAGCTGGACTCAGTGGGCTCTTAAGTCAAGTCAAACCAACATATTTATTAAGCACTGACTATGCTCCCGGCACTGTGCTAAACACTGATGATATGATGAAGGCCAAAACAGGCCCTGCCTTCAAGGAGCTCCCAGCGAATGGGGGAGATACCTAGCAAACAATGATGCACAAACAAGACACATCCAGGACAAATGGAAGCTAATTTCAGAGGCATTAGTACTAAGGTAGGTCAGGAAAAGCCTCTTACAGAATATGGGCTCTCAGCTAGGACTTGAGGGAAGCCAGGAGGCAGAAATGAGGAAGGGGCGTCTTCCAGGTATGGGGGACAGCTAGAGAAAATGCCCAGAGCTGGGAGATGGAGCGTGGGGATGAAGGAATAGTAAGGAGATCAATGTCAGTGGATGGCAGAGTATGGGGGAAGAGTAAAGTATAAGAAGACTGGAAAGGTGGAAAGGGGCCAGGAGATGAAGGGCTTGAAGAGCCAAGCAAAGAAGTGCATATTTGACCCTGGATTTAACAGGGAGCCACTGGAGTTACTGCACAGGGGGGTAACATCATCAGAACTTTGCTTTCAAGAAGATCAGTTTGACAACTGAGTGGCGGATGACTGCAGTGAGGAGAGATGAGGCAAGGAGACCCACCAGAAAATTTTTGCAAGAGCCAGGCACAAGGTGACAAGGGATGGTACCAGGGGATGACAGTGTCAGAGGAGAGAAGTGGACTTATGGGAGAGAGGCTGAAAAAGAAGAAACAACAAGATTTGGCAACTGATGGGGTAGAGGGCAGTGTGTGAGAGAGTGAGGAGTCACAGACGGAAAGTACCTTGGTTGCAAAACTAGGCAGCATGGTGGTCATAGAGAAGTAGGGAAGAGGTGAAGGTGGGGAGGGGGGGAGGATAACGTGTTCTCTTTGGGACATCCAGCTCTCAAGTCCCTTCTAACTCTCCACATCTGTTCTATCCATGATCTTCGCATGTCTTTGCTAGTTGTGCTTTGTGGAAGGATTTGTTTGTTTGGGTGTTTGTCGAGAAGTATCTTTTGCATCAAGACAAAGCAGAGTAATGAATTCAAAATAAAATGGGGAGGGGGTTAGGCATGGGAAGTACGATTATAAGATCACAGGCCTTTTCCTAACACAGGTTTCAATAACCTCAACCATCCTTTATCTCCTCACCAAAAAAGATAAGCAAATCCTTTAGCAATCTAAACCTTTGTTAGTATTTTAAGAAACTGTTGATCAGCTAGATAACATACCACATCCTAGGTAATTTAAGTAATGAATGGTATGCGTGTGTATGTGCATGTTTAGGGGAGAGGGTGTCAACCAATATAACTGACAATCAAGAAGATTATACTCAAGAGGCAGTATGGGATAGTGGAAAGATAGTTGGCCTCTCTCCTGATGCTTGCTCTGTGATCATGGGCTGCTACCCCCTAAACTTTGGTTTCATCATCTATAAAATGCGGATAACAATGTCTGTTATCTCACAGGGCTGTTGTGAGGTTCAAATAAGATAATCTATAAAGTGCCTTGCAAGTTTTAAAAGTTTTGCAAGTTTAAAAAAAAAAAAACTACTTGGGTCACTTACAATTCGAAGTAGAACAACAAATGATTTTCCAATTTACATCCAAAAAAGAAACACATAGTTGGTGTCCTGCCCAACATGCTCAATGAAGTGATGTGCAAGGCCCTCCTTCCCCCTTTCAATCTATCATTCTGTATCATTTTTTCCTTTCTCAGGCAAACTCTGTAGGTATGAATCCCAGATGACCTGTTTGGCCCTGGACCCACAAAGGAACCTCTCTAGGGTTCCATCAGTTCATCGGTCAAATGAGGGGGTTGGACTGTATGGCCAGGAAAGTAGCGCTCACGGAAGCAGACCCTACAAGGGGAGTTCCTTTCTTGCTTAGGAAAGAGATCAGCAGAATCAGAACAACCTCCCCCCCCCCCCCCCCCCAAATCCCCGCCCCCCCCCCCCCCACAAAGCCAAAAGCAATGGAACTTCTAACTTTGCTAAATGTTAGCATGTGCTTGTAGCTTTAGGAAAGATTTCAGTCTTTGTGTAGTGATGGGATTACCTGTTTCTGTTGACAGTTAACAAGTTTATAATAAAAACATGGCTTATAAAGTGCTAGGATTGAAAAGTTGGTTTCCCAAGGTTAATCCCCAGCCCTTTCTTTAAGGGCTGTTATTATATATAGCCTATATCCTAGTATTGCTTGGGAGGCACCTTCCTTTGGCAGGCAATCTTCCGGAGTGTGAGGAGCAGGCTGGTCCTCTGACGCACAATCTGCTGGCCTCGCTTAGTGCTTAGCAGGCCAATTCGCTTCGCTCTCGGTCCACCACACTGCCCTCTCAATTCTCCTTCCTCCAAATCCAAGGCCAGATTTTTCACCATTTTTGTTCCCCTGGAGCTTTTTCAAACACCACCGATGAATAATGCCACTTCCTCCTTATCAGCTCCTAAGCTTTTTACCTAAGGACCGAGGAGATACCATTTGTACTCAGGTGATTGTTAATCCATTTGTTAGCTCCTCTATTTGACACCCAAGGCAGCTTGGTGAGAGCAAGCTGGACTTGCAGCCAGGAGGGTTCAAATCATGCCTCTGATGAACTCTCAGTTTCCTCATCAGGAAAAGGGGCATAACAGTACTGATGAGGCGCAAACGAGGTCATGTTGATAAAAGCTTCCGCAGACTTTAAAGGGCTGAGTGTCCTTTGTTATTATCTCGTGACCCTGGGTAGATCATTTTGCCTCTGATGGGGCTACAATGTCATCTCCACGTCCAGGCCTAAATACATGAACTCTTAGGATTTCTGTAACAAAAACTGTTCTAAAATGTGCCTCAGTATCTAGAATGTAAGCTTCTTGAGAACAGGGACTTTCATTCCTGTCTTTGTACTCCAAGTACTTGGCACAATGTAGAGAACACAGTGGGCAGTTAATAAAAGCTAGCTGAGTGATAAACTGGGTCACTGGTGATAATGGCTAGCCCCTTTGATAAATCAGAGTATGGACTCTTCTCAGTTTATTGTACATTATGGCTCTTTGGCCTTCTACTTCTTTTGATAAAGAATCCAACTTCTGATTATTCCTCTACTGGGTCCCAATTCAAACACGAAGGAGATAAAGAATTGCTAAACAAGTTAAAACAGGTTTTCAAATATGAAAACGATTTAAAAGGCAAATGGACTTCAATGCCACAATTATCTGTGATTTTCTTGGCCGGAGGCTTTCCCCCATCAACACAGATGGCAAACCTTTTGCATTTTAGTAGATGGTCTATAAGAGTTTCATTTGGCCAAAAAATTCACCACCCTGGTGAATCAACCCGGTGATGAGCTTTTCCAGATTTAGTGAATCACGGCCATAGAAAACAGACAGACTCTCAGGACATCAGAGTGCCCCTACTCAAAGCCTTTCCAGCTGAGAAGGACTCACTAGAAGGGCCCAAAGTGCTGGAGAATCCAGAGTGCCTATCATACCACGATGAAGAGAAAATAGAAATTCTTCTATGCCTCATCATTTTGAAGGAAACACACCCTTAATATCAACACACACAACACAAGTCACAACTAAGAGGCCCAAGCAGCAGCAGCAATCAAAGCCCAGAACAGCTATCGAGACACTGTGAGAAGCTCCAGAAGGAAAAGAGCATAAAACGGGTGACGTTTAGGGCTCCTACCTCCAAGGCCCTGGAGAACGCCTGCTGAAGAAAGCTGATACTGCCTACCTGAGACAGCTCGAGAAGCCTAGGAACCGGCTCCGGCAGTGCGCTACGCACCCAGACAAGCCCTTCCCGGCCACCCAGACCAGGGTGTGGAGGAGATGGAGGGCTGAAAAGCAGCCACCCAGCTGCAGGCGTGAAAACAGCAGGCGCTCAAGTCAGAGATGTCCAAGGCTGGAAGTGACCCCCGGGGCCACAGACCGTAAGAGGGCCAGGGAGAGATGCCGGGATCTGTGAACCTGGATGGGAACACGTTGTGCTTTTTCCTCACCACTGGTCTCCTATGTAACCCGAGGGGTTCTGTTGTATGCATTGAAACACGTTATCCTGAGAAGGGGTCACCATTCTACCAAAGGGGTCCAGGACATAAGGAAAGGCCAAGAGCTTTCGATTTAGTCCCATGTCCTCGTTGTACAGATGAGAAAGATGAGGCTCGGAGAAATGACTCGCCCAAGGCCACGAGGTAAACTGGGGATGGGACCAGGATTTAAGTCAAAGCTGTGTTCCAGCATGCCCGAAGGGTGGGGGCAGCCCCCCTTTTCGAGGAGACACCCCAAACCTCGAGCTCTGAGCATGACCAGTTCCTCCCCGCCCCCCAGAGGACCCCCAAGTCCTCCCCCCCCCGGTCCTCGGCACCCTCTAATCCCCCCCACAAGAGGAGTGGGGACCCGGCCCGGGGAGGGGGCTTAAGCGCCCCCCTGTCCTCAGCACCAGGCGACTCCACGCGTCTGGAGGGCAAGGGCCTGCTCATGTCTGGTCTGCCCTAGTGACTCAGTGTACACAGAAGGTGCTTCATAAATGTGGGCCGAAATCAACTAAGAGAGAGAAGTCAGCGGGAAAACTGAAGCCAGGTATGGGGGGGGCAGGGTGGAGGCCGGGGAGCAGGTGGGGAGACTCGGGGGGGCGAGAGGGGGACAGACGAGAGGAGGGTCGGGGAGACACGCGGGGGGTGGGAGACACGTGGGGGCCGCGCCCACGTCGAGGGGTGGGGGGCTGGAGCCCCTCCCCCAAGCCCCTCCCCCGCTCACCTGGCAGCCCTTCTTGTGGTGGAAGCCCACCACCACGATGTGCAGCACGGGCCCCCGCGGGCCGCCGCGCCCCCCGGCCTTCTCCATGGGCCGCCCGCCCCGGGGCTCCCGGACCACAGGGGACGCCGAGGCAGCCCCCGCTAGGCCCACCCGCCGCAGCCGCTTCGCCGCTTCCGCCTCCGCGTCACCTGATCCCGCCCCGCCCCGCCCCGGCCCAGCCCCCGCCTCCGGGGAGGACGAGGGGGCGGGGCCTGGGGGCGGGGCCTGTGCTGCCGGGGAGGAGCCGAGCCGGGAGAAGGGGGCGGGCCTGCGTTGCCCGGGAGACCCGGCCTCCAGGGAGACGCACAGAGAGGGGGCGGGGCCTCCTGCTCCATCCTCCTGTCCCTTCCCTAGAGCCCCAAGCTCTGGGTTCAGATCCCAGTTCTGTCCCTTACTATCTGGGTGACCCGGTTGGGGAACGTAGGCAAGTAGTCACTTAAAGGCACTAATAATATAAAGTTTATACAACGCTTTAAAGTTTGCAAGTTGTTCAGCGTTTTCAGTCGGAACCCCGTTTGGGGTTTTCTTGGCAAAGATACTGGGGTAGGTTGCCATTTCCTTCTCATTTTACAGATGAGAAAACTGAGGCAAACTGTGTGAAGTGACTTCCTAGGGTCACACAGCCGGCAAGTGTCTGAGGTCACATTTGAACTCAGATCCTCCTGTCTCCAGGACCTTCTGAGGGACACAACCCTGGGAGGGAGGTGCTATTATTATCTTCATTTTTGTTGATGGCTATCCATTGCACAGAGAATATTGTTTGGGCCCAGGTGGCCCAGGAGATAGAAGATTGGCCTTGGACTCAGGAAGTCTTGATTTCAAATCCAGCCTCAGACACTTGCTAGCTGGGTGACCCTCGGCAAGTCACTCAACCTCTCTTTGCCTCAGTTTCCTCAACTGTAAAATGGCACCTATCTTCCAGGGTGGTTGTGAGAATCAAATGAGATATTTGTAAATCACTTAGCATGGTGCCTGGCACAAAACAGGCATTTTATAAATGCTTATTCCCTTCCCTTCAACTATGTGTGGCTAGAATGTCCATGGCAAAATGATAAAATAAAGTGTGTTTTGGAATAAATCAGGTGTTAGGCCATTTATACATATGAATTATTGATGTTTTACATGTGAAATATTTGTCCAGTGGATACTAAAGGAATGTTGTCACTGATAATCCCATCATAAACTAAGGTAGAAAACAAAAAGAAATGTAATTTCAATGGAGCGATTGTTCACAGGTTCCCTTGAAGAGGCAAGGGAGGATTGTTCCCATGTTGACCCTAAAGGCAACGTGAAAGTCAGCCCTAGAAACGTGCTTATTTCATCATTTGAGCATCTGATGGACATAAGCAAAAAAGACTACTTTGAAATGTCTCCATTTGGGAGTTTGAAGAGATGAAAAATGTTATCAGAACTTGAAACAATGCTCTATGCCAAGTAAACATGTTTTAATAATCAGTGACTTCAATGCCAATTGCATCGTGCATTGGCCCAAGACATAGTAGCGAAAGGTATGTTGGAAAGGAGCGATTGGGTTTCAAAACCAAAAGAAATGAAAGGTCTACAGAACCAGAAGCTTTGTGACTAATGATAAAAGTATTTCCACAAGACATCAGGAAGCATTGGTCACGCCAAGCAACGAATGTCATAAAAAATGAAATTGGCTATATTTTAACAAACAGGAAATTATAGTCAAAATAACTTCAACCTGACCCTAAAGCCAGTTAGTGATGTCAAACATCGGGAAATGGGTATTTGCCTTGATTATCACTTTTTCCTTCAAAGGTTTAAGTGATTAAATGTATTTAACAATGACCACAAAATGTTTCAAGAACTTAGTACTTGACTGACATAGAACAAACCTATTTTTTCTTCCATTGTTTATTTCCATAATTTCTCTTGCATTATTCCATTAATTTCTTCCATTATAATTAGACAGGAAAGCATACTTCCTTATTTTTAGTTCTCTTATCACTCCAAAGAAAGGCAGCATGGCTTGGTGGTGGACAGACAAATGCCTCTGAGTCAGAATATCTTCCTTTGCCCAGTAGAATATAAGCCTCTTTCCGACAGAAGCTGTTTACTTTTTGCTTTTTTCCCCCAACACTGTGTACCTCGTATGAAAAAACAACAACAACAAAACATTTGTTGAATCAACACACGCTAGTGAGGAACACCCTAAGCAACTTATTTGGCCTCAGGGTCCCTGTACAATTCTTTTAAAACTATAAATTGTCGACCAATCTGCATTAGCGGAGTAAGTTTGCACATAAGGAATTCTATATATTGCTGAAATTGCATGTCTAGACCAAAATAAAATACTGCCAAAAATTCTATGGACAAAATCCCTCTAAATTCACGGCTCAATATTTCACTGTGTACATGTTGTGTTCTGGGTTCTTTAGATGCCCGTTGTCCTTGAAAAGCTTGCTATAATTTTGGTTGGTTCTTGGGAAGTGATTTTCACACTCCTGTTGGCTTAGTGTTTCCCTTCCCATTGGAACATAGCATGTCTCGGCAGGTCACGTTGGGAGGTGTTTTATGCCTTGTCAAAGCCGGATAGATCCATTTTTATTTTACTGGTTTTTCTAATTCAAGGAAACTTTCTTTGAGAGTTTCTGGAACAGAGCCCCTGTCTCCCTCGTGCTAGGAATGCTCTCCTGCCTCACCTCCACCTACCTGCATCCCTGGCTTCCTTTAAGTAAGTCCCAGCCAAAATCCCAACTTCTACCGGAAACCTTTTCTGAGCCCTCTTGATTCTACTCTACTTGTTTCTACTCCTTGCTAATTATTTCTTATTTATCTCTTATATAGCTTGTTTACTTGTTATCTCCCCCATTAGGTTGAGAGTTTCTTGAGGCCAAGTACTGTTTTCATCTCATTTTTGTATCCCCAGGGCTTAATGCAATGCCTGGCACTTAATAAGTGCTTAATAAATGTTTATTGACTGACTCACTTTAAAGATTTGGATTCTGAGGCTGATTACATATTAAGTGACTTCCCTGGGGTCACACAGCCAAGGTAGATTTGAACTCAGGTCTTCCTGACTCTTGGTCCTCTAACCATTGACACACCTGGCTGCTTGTCTCTGGCCTTGGCTGCCTCGTGATTGAAATGAGGGTCTTGGCCTGGGTAGATGATAATGCCCCTTCCAGATCTAAGTTTGTGGTCCCATGATCCCTACTTTGCCCTCTTTCCATCTCATTCCCCCAGACAACAGCTCTAGGACTTCTGAGGGAAGGAGAGACCAGTGTGGGCTGGGGTCACTTCCTGAAGAAACTGCATCTTGAATCAGGTTTCAGGGGAAGGAACAGAGAAAAGCAAGAAGTTTTGGAGGTAGGCATGAGTCTGATTGCTATGAGGGTTACTCAAGGGCAGGATTTATTCTAATGCATTGGAAGAGTTGGTTGATAGTAGTAGGGAGACAGGGAAAGTTCTGAATCATAGGTTCAGAGATAATGGGACATAGATTTAGAGCTGGCAGGGAACTTGGAGGTCAACAGACCCATTTTTGTCATTTTACAGATGAGGAAACTGAGCCTCAGAGAAGTTAAGCGACTGACCACAGATTAAACAGCTGCTAAGTGTCTGAGGTGGGATTTCAAAGCAGATCTTCCTGACTCCTGGTCCAGTGCTAACCACTGACCCACACAGCTACTTCTTCTTGGCCTCAACTTCCTCCTGCTTGAAATGACAGTTTAAGACTTGGCAGGTGCTGATCCCCTTTTCAGATGTAGGTCTATGGTCCGACAATCCTTTCTCCTGTCCTCCATCCATTCCCGTCCCCCTGACAACACCCGACAGACCCAGTCCATTGGCAGGACAAACTGAAAGCTTTGTGCTGTCTGGAGTCCTATGTGTATAGAAATATTTATAGCAGCTCTTTTCATAGTAGTAAAAATCTCTGAGAATTAAAGTGTTGCCACTGGGGAATGGCTGAACAGCTCCTGATGTATGAATGGGACACAATATTCTGATGCCCTAAGAAATGGCGAGATGGACAGTTTGAGAGGACACGAGGAGACCTCAGTGACGTGATGCAGAACAGGACAGTGACAGCAACCTTACCAAGAAAGACATCTCATCTGTACCCCCAGACCTTCCCTGCTGCCATCTTCCCTATTACTGTCCAGGGCACCACCCTCCTCCTGATCACTCAGGCCCCCAACTTCAGTGTCCCTGGGGCTCACCAGCTGGACTCCTCCCTCTCTCTCATCCCTCTCTATTCTATCTCCCATCAAGACCTGTCCATTTTACTTTGTAACATCTTTCACACATGACCCCTTTCCCTACTCAGTCACCCACCCCAAACCCCAAGTCCCAAATAATGATCAGCTCATTTATTGACTATTGCAATAGCCTGCTGGGGGAGGGGTCGGCTTCCCCAGCTCTTTCCCCACTCCAGTCCATCCTTTACTCACCTATCAAAGGGATCTTCCTAAAGTAAAAGTCCCACTGACAATGTCACCCCCATGTTCATTAACCTTCAGGGGCTCACTGTCACCTTCAGGTTCAAATATGAAATTCGTTGCTTGGCTTTCAAAGTCTTGCCTCCCTGCCACACATACCCCTTTCCAGTCTTCTCACATCTTGCGCTCTCCTCCTCCCATGTGCCCTACCATCTAGTGATACTGGCTTTGCTGTTGCTCAAACAAGACCCCACCACTGCTCAGCTCTAGGCTTCCTCTCTGGCTGTCCCCCATGCCTCCTGGCATTCTCTCCCTCCTCCTCTCTGCCTCCTGCCTTACCTGCCTGCCTCCAAGTCTCAGCCAAAATCCTACCTTCTCCAAGAAGCCTTTCCAGATTTCCCTTAATAACTCAGCAGGAATATCCTTTCCTCTGTTGATCATTGCCAAGGTATCCTGTATATATTTGCACAGAATTGTTTGCATGTTTTCTCTCTCCATTAGACTGAGCTTCTCATGAGCAAAGACTTTTTTTGCATTTCTTTATATCCTTAGTACTTAGCACTTAGTGCTTGGTGCATAGTAGGGTCTCAAAAAATGTTTATTGACTTGCTGACTGACAAATCTGAAAGACTTCCAGCTCTG